TAGGGCAGGGGTGCCCACAAGGTCGATCGCGATCTACCAGTCGATCGCGTAGCGATCACTGGTAGATCGCCATGTCCTCTCCTCCCGCCGCTTCTCTGGATCCCCGCTGCTCTCCCCAGCGTGGATCCGAGAAGACGTGAAGGAACCGGCGGCGGGGGAGGGCGGAGGACGGAGCCGCTGTCACTATAATGCAGAGCAGTGAGGAGAGAGACGCTCGGCCAGGATCTGACAGCTGGCACCTCTCTCTTCCCTCACTGCTCGTCCGTTCTGTCACGGGGCTCGTAGTATCAGGGAGAGCAGGGGGATCCAGAGAAGTTGCAGCCCCCTTGTGCGTGGACGAGCGGCAGAGGATCGGTACATGTCAGTAGACATGACAAAACATTTAGACACCATTAGCACCTGTCACACTTCTCTATTTGATGCATATATGACTGTGTTATCACACAATGTTATAAAGCTAATATTATATGCGCAGCATCGCTTTAATATCATCAACCCATCCACCCAGAGGCAGGTTTTACCTCTGTGTCTTCTCACCCAGGTAACCAACAAAGTACTTCTGTCTGACAAACAAATACATCAGACCAGCGAAAGCTGCAGGAGCTGCAAGTACAAGAACAAACAGAAACAAAGCGATTAGTTTACGAGCATCTCATTTATTTTATTTTTTACAGGATATCTAACGAACAAAAATGTAATATAATACAGCTTCCCAGTCCTTAGATGTGGTGGCTGCATTAGTTTTCTTTTTTCTGGCTAAGAACATTTTCAGCAAGTACTGGAAATACCCGTTACTCTTTACATGCCCTTCTAGCCTCTTGTAAATTGAACTGATATATTAAGTTATGTTATTTTCTTTACAAGCTGTCTTCTGTAAACTATACCAAAAACTAGGGATGTACCGATCCCTAGGCGAGTACAAAACGCTCCGATGCTTCCCCCCGATACTGGAACTTCCGGTCAGAGGGAGATTTCCTCTGACCGACAGTGCCGCGAGGGAACATGGAGCCGGCTTCCTGATTGGCCGGGTAGCTGGCTCCGTGCTGTTTGGCTGGCTTCCTAGCCAATCATCATCGGGCCGGCCAAACAACATGGATACGGCTTCCTGGACAATCAGGAAGCCAGCCCATGGGTAATGACTGCATGGGGTCTCAGCTCACGCCTGAGGGCCCCACTCAGCTCCAAGCAGTACACTAGAGCTGCAATAACGGTTCGATTTGGTCGATTAAAATTGACGATCGAAAACGTTGTCAACCTTTTCGATCGTTGATTAGTCGGCTATCTATTGCATTGCCTGTTTGCTACTCCAAACACAAGCTGAGCACCCTTGCGAACGCCACGCCCGCTGAACGCGCACGCCGCGCCCACCGCATGCGCTGCGGTTCAGCCTACAATCCTGGCGCTCCTTACATCTAGCTGGGCCGGTGGGATCACATGACGGGTGCCAGGAATGTGAGCGCGACAGGTGTCAGCCAGGGGACGGAGACCATGGCTGGGGACGAGCTGGCATCCAGGCTGAACCGTTCAGCAGAAGACACAGAGGGAATGTTCAGACAGTAAGTGCCCCGTCACCCCGGAGCCTGGGACCTGACACTGTGCACCCCAATCCACCGTCATACCCATCCTCTGTACCCCATCCCACCATCATACCCATCCTCTCCATCCCTGCACTTCAACTAATGTTCCCCGCACAGTCACACACTATTATTACACATTTATAAAGCTCTAACATATACCGCAGTGTTATACAGAGAAGTCACATCAGTCTCTGTACAGAGGAGCTTACACTCTAATGCAGAATACCATCAGCTATAGAGGACTAAAAATCCCAGTAATACATTATACAGCAATGCAGAATAATAGTATATGAATTTGGTACATACTTTGTACTGCCGCTCTGCTCCGGGGTGCCAGCCTGAAGTCTCGGGCAAAGGGTCTCAGGAGGGAAATATAGGCAGCCGGTGGAAGCCCTGTAAGAAGGCACCGTGTGGTTCCCCAGAAGCCTGCTGCGCGGGACCTAACACAGCTGAATTAACGCAGAAGTCAGAGGTGCAACGCAGAGTGCAGAGATCAGCGGTGTGATGCAGAGTACAGCAGTGTGACGCCTCCAGTCCAGCATGATGCCCAGCGGCCTCCTTGTGCCCTCACTTCAGGACCCGCTCTTTCTCTGCCACTGGTTGCCCTGCAGTCTTATTGCTGGCCTATGGCAGCTGAAGTGGACGGAGGAAGTTGCAGGTGGCCACCGAGGAGCCCGACTAGTTAGCGGGCTTTCAGAAAGGCAGCCGGTGTTCTGTCGAAAGCTCCAACTCCTCAAGATCTCCAACGACCAGACTTACTTAGAAGTAGGAGGTTCGGCCTAGAAGGCTGTACTGCACGTGTGCCACCCGCGGCATTTCCCTGTACACATACTACACAGCAATAAAGTATTAAAATGAACTAGGGTCAGACTAATCCAGCACGTTATTAATCTGAGTGCCCCACTCAATATGGGCGCAAGTGGCGGCCATATTGAGTGGGGCAATTTAGATGAATAATGTCCTGGATTAGTCTGACCCTAGTTCATTTTAATATTTATTAAAAGCTGTAGTATGTGTATTTTTGAAATGCCACGGCTGGCCCACGTGCAGTACAGCCTTCTCGGCCAATCCTCTTACTTCTAAGTAAGTCAGGTAGTTGGAGATCTCAGAAGTTGGAACTTTTCTCCTACTGATTAAGGATGGGCTCGGACGTGTTCGCAGCTCCACATGCCGAGCCCGCCAGGAAGCTGACAGCGTCAATCACAGGTAGTGAGACATTTTCCTGGTCCGCAGCTGCAGAGATCGGGAAATGTCTCAATGCCTGTGATTGACGCTGCCGGCTTAGTGGCATGCCCGGCACGTGGAGCAGCGAACACGCCCGAGCCCATCCTTACTCCTGCAGGGTCTGTGGTGGGCTCTGTGGGGTCTCAGATGGCCTGTGAAGGATCTCTGGTGGGCCCTGGAGGGTCTCAGGGTGCTAAGCCCACCTGAGACCCTGCAGAGCCCACCCCGACACAGATCCTGCAAATCCCCCCTGAGACCTGGTTGATGATTTTTACCGATCCTGCACAGCCCCCGAGACCCTGCAGTCTCAGGGGGCTGTGCAGGATCTGTGGTGGGATCTGCCCACCATAGACATCGCAGAGCTCACCACAGATCTTGCAAAGCCCCCTTGAGACCCAGCAAAGCCCCCCACATATCCTGCAAAGACCCCCTGACACCCTGCAGTCTGGGGAGAGTGATTGATTCCTAACCGAATGTAATCATATCACGTATCATTACATGCGGTGTGCAGGCGTTTACATGCAACTGCTGTCACCTGATCAATAACTTTGGTGACAGCTGCCACTTGTAAATGCCAATTCAGGGATTTCTGCTGCAGGAAAACGCAAGTTCCTGACGCAGAGATCCCCAATTGCACCTAAATATAGAGGCGTGAATGTAGCCTAATACACTTCTGCTCCTCCCCGTACACGTAAAAAAAAAATACAACCCC